ATTATTTTATTTTAGATCTTTGTTACTTTTTTCTTTTCTTTTCTAATATTTTTTTTCCGGTAACTTTTGTGGCCCGTGAGACCAATGTAATGTATAATTGTACACTCATTGTATTCAACACACTAACTGCACTAATTTGTTTATCATTATATTGCTTACAACACTTGTTTACAAGTTTATTGTAAACAAAATAATGATGAAAATATTAGTGGGTTGTGTTGAATACAACTGTACCGTATAGTAACATATGGTACAGTGGTACCATAAGGTGTAATGGTACCATATGGTACAATGTACCATAGGGTGCAATGGTACCATATGGTACAATGATACATTATGGTACACAGTACAATTTAACGTATGGTACTATGTGGTACTGTTGTATTCAACACAATAACCGCACTAATATTTTCATCATTATTTCGTTTACAATAATTGTTTACAACAAAAAATCCAAAAATGTTTTATATTAGTATTGTTCTATTATATATTTTTACATATGTACAGCCACTGGACATGTTGCTTGAAGTGGATGATGAAGTGCTTTGTCTTGGAAACTGGTGAGTCAGTGGCTTGTGTCCCACACTCACTCAGTCCTGGCTGGTGCCTCGTGGCACCAACACCTCCTACTGGCCATATGGTACAGGGTACCCTACAGTACAGATTACCATATGGTGCAGGGTAGCATATTGTACAGGGTACCATATGGTGCAGAGTACCATATGGTACAGATACAGGGATCCCTATGGAAATAAGTCACCCTGACTTTTTTGGGTTATCCTAGGATTTTATACATGTGCTGCAATGCAATAAGATCATTATCATTGTCATTGTGACTACTCACAATGATAATGTGAGTAGTCACGAAAGCACTTGGAATTTCTCTATTCTTTCAGAGTGGTTGTTTTGCATATGCTGCAATGTATGATAATTATGTAACTGTATTTGTGTATACCTGAATAAACTTATTCAAGCACATGTGGCATCGTAAGTACGTTTATTTACATATACACAAATAGTTATGTAGATTATCATGCATAGCAACATATGTTTGGAGACCTAGGATAACCAAAAAAAAGTCACACATTTATTTCCATTAGGGTCCCTGTACTATATGGTTCAAAACCATAGAGTTTCTCTTCAGATCCACTTCCATCAGTCTTAGAACTGTAAGTTGGGAAGAGGAGAGCCAGAATTCGCCCGGGGAGTGAGAGCTTCCTTGCTGCCAGGCATGGTGAACAAAGCCACTTCGGCGGCGTGTTCACAATGCCATGCGGACATCCAGATTTTTTCTATAGTGCGTACACTGACCACCCAGACCCATTCTCTTAGATGTAGGCCTACCAGCCTTCTTGAGCTAAATTTGAGGCCTCTAGAATTTTGGCATAGTTTTATGGTTTGGACTCACAACTCAAAGCTGTAGAACTGTGGCACGGACCCTGGAAGGGTTAATAACATAGAAATATGATATATAGTCTTGAATTAATAAAATATATCAATGTATGTGAGGAGTAAGTGGTGGTGGTGATGTTAGGTTTATAAGGGCCAATGAGAGAAGCCGTACATATTAGTGGTAGTGAAGGCGGCAGCAGAAGCCACCACCACTATTCACACTGAAACAGTGTACATAATTTATAAATAAGAAATATTTACACTTACCTTGGAGGAGATGTTAGTTTGATGGAGATGATGGCAGAGGTTTAGGGTGGTGGAAGATAGCAGTGCCACCTATGTTCAGTGGCCCTATACACCTCCAACAACATTGGAGGGTTACTTTTGTGTCATTTTTCTATCACTTAATTGCTTAACTTACTTGCTACACTGTTAATGCTACACTTTATCGCTGGATGGCACTATAGCCTTTATCGATACCCGCTGCTGTAATATGATACATATCTTAGAATCATTGAAGAAGGCACATTCTCCCCTCTCTCTTCCTTGTCCACTTTGGTACTTTGCTACGAGTTTTTTCTTAAATTCTGTGTGTTTCTTTCCTTCTTTACCAAAGGACTGGCACTAGGAGCTTTCTTTGGGCCCATGGTGGCTTATTTAGCAGTTGCAAGCACAAAAAACACTGGATTATTATGTAATATATTGTATGAACCCATGGGGTGATGGTCACTAGCCCACAAATCATGCAACACTGACTCTCTGAATGTTGTGTGGAAGCCTTTGTGTACGCCCAGCTGCTCTCAGCTTCATGGACGGGTCCCATATGATGGACGAATCACGAACCGTGAGGCTATATTTTGCAGAAAAAAGTTGCCGAAAGTCAGATTTCATAAAAGTCGTGGTCACCGAAATGCGGGGGGTTCACTGTACTCTGATAATTGTACTTATGTGTACAATACCAAAATAAACTTGAACACCGTGCTGGTATGCAGGTACACATTAAAATCAGTAAGAGTGTCTTACGTCTTGAGATGCCATATTAACAGTGATGATAATACTCAATAATAATTACTGAGTCTCATTAAATGTTGTATATTACATTAATATACATATTTTCATTAATCCATATATGATATTTTTTCAAAATTATATAATAAACCCAGCCCAAAGCAGCATGGGTTCGAGACCTTGACTAGTCCCAGTGTTGTTATTGATCAATACCACTTGTTCGTGGGCACAATAATATAAAAATACTGCTCGTTGTACTAGTACACCAAACAGAGACAAGAATGAAATTAGCCTAGAGTCGTCCACACCATCGTATGTCCTTGGGTAGTGAGTACAACATCCAGTTCCGCTGGATGTGCTACTCTTAAGGATTGTATGGTCCACTGGATTAAGGCGTCATGAGTATTTGCCCACTATGAGGCAGGCCAAAACAGCATGGGTTCGAGTCCTTGGCTAGTCGCAGTGTTGTTATTGATATACGTGTAGTATATATATATATATACAGTGGTACCCCGAGTTTTGTACAGCTGCCAACTCAAACAGTTATGTAAGTGTATTATTGTAAGTGCTTTTGTAAGTGTATTTTTGGGGGTCTGCAATGGACTAGTCTAATTTACGTTATTCCTTATGGGAACAAATTTGTTCGGTAATGGCACTCGAATAGCCTTCTGGAATGAATTATGGCCGAAACTCTGGGTACCACTGTATACATGTATATACATATATTTACAGTAGACTGTTGTTAGGTTCCTGAAAATGCATTGCTAGACGAATCCGTGTTAAAGGAACTGAAGAACTCATGGGAAAAATAGGGTTTCATTCCTGGGACCCTCAAAAAAGACAACTTTTTTTTTTTTTTTAGGTCTCCAATTCTTACAAAAATAAAAATAATGCATTTGTTGTTCATTGCTGTTACACTGTATATTTTTTCTGTTGCTTAAGACTAAAAATGCAACAGAAATAATATTTCTTACCTTAATTTGTGGTTGCTGGTGAATGTTGATTGTGAAGAAGGGAGTGGAGAAGCATGCTGAGGCCCATCTGGGCTGAGGTGGATGGTAGTCTAGTCAGTCAATCCAATCCAGTGAGTCAGGTCAGTCAGTCAAGTCAGTACAGTCATTCACTTCATTAGGTCACTCATTGAAATCAGTAGGTCACTCATTCAAGTCAGTCAGTCAAATCATTAAGTAAATCAGTCAGATCAGTAGGTCAGTCAGTTAAGTAAGTCATTCAGTAAATCAGACAAGTCAGATCAGTCAAATCAATCAGTAAATCAGGTCAGTCAGTAAGTCATTCATCCACCTTGCATCACTGTAATTTTTTCCCTACCGAGAAGCAGAACCGTTTAAATTGAATTTTACGAAGCAAGATGAAAATGTGCCACAATTTGACAATAGTTTAATAGAGAAAACGTTTTAAAGGAAACCGTTTTAATCGACGGTCTACTGTAATCACTTTATTTTCCTCCTCTCCCTCCCTCCCTCTTTTCCCCAGTGGATTCTCACCTCCACACAACTCCATGAACAACTCCACACTACCAGCATCACCAGCCACACTACCAACATCACCAGCCACACTACCAACATCACCAGCCACACCACCAGCATCACCAGCCACACTACCAGCATCACCAGCCACACTACCAGCATCACCACCCACACTACCAGCATCACCACCCACACTACCAGCATCACCAGCCACACTACCAACATCACCAGCCACACCACCAGCATCACCAGCCACACTACCAGCATCACCAGCCACACTACCAGCATCACCAGCCACACCACCAGCATCACCAGCCACACTACCAGCATCACCACCCACACTACCAGCATCACCACCCACACTACCAGCATCACCACCCACACTACCAGCATCACCACCCACACTACCAGCATCACCACCCACACTACCAGCATCACCACCCACACCATCAGCATCACCAGCCACATTGCCAACATCTCCAGTCACACTACCAGCATTACTAGCCACCACACACCTGATAGTAACTTTGGCTGATGGTGTTCTTAACAAGTTTTCCCAAATATTTTTTTGAAGCTTTAAACTATAGGTAAAAGTAATAACTATAGGTTAAAGTAATTCTGTGTTTCAGTATTTTAAAATACAAACACACAAGTGTAAGGAATAAATTTGTACCTAGTAATGAAGCTGTGAGTGAAAGTCATGTTTTTATGCACATTAGTTTTTATGTTTTTTGCATACTTCAGCTGTTGAGTGAAACATGCTTGTTTGTCTTGATTTGTATGATTGTGGATGCACATTGTTACATGAAGGAAATTTGTATTGAAAGATCCCTAACCTTGAGTCTACCAACGTACCTCAGTGATGTGATAAGTTAGTGCCTGTACACTAGTTAGTGCTTGTACTCTACACTAATTAGTGTTTCTACTATACACTAATTACATATATCACAAGTTTATTACAAGGCTGGAAAGTTGTTGTCGTGTATCTGCTTAAATAAACATCTAAATGAGGTTGCAGTTGTGCTACTCATTCTCTGGTAGACCATGAGAATAATAAGGTACAAAATTGTGGTCATTGTGGAAGGCCTAAACTTGGCTGTTTCTCTCCGGTAGGGACCGACCTTGAGAAGTTCCTCTGCTCCCACTGCTGGAAACTTTGACTCCTGCCAGGACGGGGGAAGTTCCTCAGCAAATAGAATGATGGACGGCAAGTGGGTGTGCAGATACCCTTTTTGTGGCTACACTACTAACAAAGCTTCAGTACTCCGGGGACATATGAGAATTCATACTGGTGAAAAACCTTTTTCTTGCCCTTATTGCCCCCACAGAACTGCACAAAGAGGCAACCTGAATGCTCATATTAGATATAAGCATAGGCTGTTTAGTGGCAATAATTCAAGTTTGTGTATGCAGCAGAAGTGAAAACAATTCTGACACTGGAAAGAGCTCATCAGTGATTTGAGAGTTAATGTTTTAATAGATGATTTTTAATATTATGACGTGTGTTTAGTGTGGTCACTGATGGTGGCTAAATCAAAACATTTAGTGCAACTTGTGTCTTACATAACAAGCTGTCTTGAAGATGGTGATGTTTGTGGCATACTTAGCTTCAAGGCCTGGTAGTGCAACTATAAGTAAGGGGCTTATCAATAATATTTGAATATGTATTGATAAATAAAGCCCAAGGCTGAAGATGTGGTTTCTCTGTTGTAGGGTCCCGCTGCCTTGTACAGTGAGGGACGTAGGACCCATCAGTGCATGGTGTGTTTCAAGATATTTCCCAAGAAGGATAACCTTGTCAAGCATCAGCGGACTCATACTGGGGAAAGGCCCTTCAGCTGCCCATACTGTGATTTTCGAGGGTCCCAGAAATCTACAGTGAATAGACATATTCACTCGAAGCATGCAGCTCGGTGTCACTGGCCTGTGACACCTCCTCAATAGCAGGTGTAAGGGAAGATCCTAAACCAAATATTGTGAATGTTCTTTGGTCATGCACCAGCACATTTATGGGGAAGTAGACAGTTCGTAAATAACAATATAAATTTGAAGATGTCTTATATTGGTTGGAGATTTACAGTTCCAGCTTGGGAAATAGTGATACATGTAAAATTGTTATCAGCTTTGGTCTGTTAAACTTGGTACATCACAATATGAATGATGCTAAGTGACACCTGCAGCATATGTATACTTTGTGATGTGCTCAAATT